AAACATTTTAAAATTTGTATTACATTTTCTTTTGTATATAATTAATGAAGTGTCTTATATCGATCAATAATCATCAGTCTTTCTAAAATCTACTTTATAACAAGTACAAGAGGGAGCATTACATTTTCTAGTTTCCAATATTTTCCTGCCACTTGCATTTATTTAATGACTGCATTTTTTAAAAAATGCAATGACAAAGGCTTAATGTCCATCGGTTCTCAATATAAAATGTAAAACGATAACCCTACTGAGTATTATTAGCACTAATTAGCGATAATCTCGCCGACGAAATCACATGTAGGAATTAAATAACCAAATAAGCAAATCGAGACACAGCCTGTCATGGGATGGTTAGGGAGAAAACATAATATTACTAATAAAAAATACCCCCTCTCAATTTATAAAATACTTTTCGATAGAGTTATATACTGTCTCTGAACTATAATATTAGTCATAGTCAACTAATTTATGATTTATGAATATTATTAATTAAAACCTTAAATTTTTAAAAATATCAATATTTTTTCATTTATACTCTTATTAAATATTTTATATTAAAATTTCATTGTATGATTTTTTCAAGAAGAGTAATAAATAAAGTAAGGGTATAATTGAAAAAATAAATATAAAAGTTATTCAATACCCTATATTTTGGATCAGATAAGATTTTTAGAAAATATCTTATATTGTAGCTCAGATGGAATATATCAATAAAGTTCATTAAATACACTTTATAATCTTATTTTTTTTAAATAAAAATATAAACTTTTTAAAATATGTTTTATTTAATACTTTATTTATGAAATAATATTAAAGAGATAGAATACTTTCTCCATTTTCAAATATAAGAGAAAATAACTAATTCACAAAATTTAATAAAGTTAGTTAAATGTAATAATTATATCAAAAATTAAAAAAAATTGGACTACATTTTTCGTTGCAATTAATGAAACAAATTTATCCAATGAAAATAAGCATTGACTTTATGAGAGATAATTTGAAAAAAAATGTAATAAATGCTTCTTGAAATTTATAGTTCTGCTAATAAATAAAAATAGAGAGAAATATGGTAGCTTCTCTTATATTTGATAGTAGAGGGAGTACATATGAAGGATAATATTAAAAAAATAGTATTAATAAAATTTAATTTTTATCAAAATGTCTTACATTTTAAAATGTTTAATTTTCCTAAAAGTGCCTTATACTCCCTCCTTCCCAAATCATATAAGAAAGTTTTGGAAATATAATTTATTGTCTCAAAATATAAGATGATTTAATAAAAATAAGATTTTATTGATTATGATTTTCTAATATTTACCATTCAAGTAATCACATAATTAAAATGATTATATTGTAATGATTAAGTATATAAATTTAAAATTATATTAAATACATAATATTTTTAAACGTTTATATTTTTAAAAGTGTGATAGTTAAATTTTATTAATATACCTAATTTTATCTCAAATTTTCTCATCATTTAGGACAAAGAAAGTGTTGTATTATTATTCGTTATAGATGGCAGGCATCATGGCACGATCCTCTCACGTGTGCTCTTTTACAAATGATTATGATAAAATTACTTAAAATGAAAGAGCCAAAATGCAATTTTATCATAGGAAACGGACTGAAAGGCAAAAGCAAACCCTCTTCATTCTCAAAAGCTCCAAATTTAACTTAAATTTTCTCTGATTTATTTTAAAATTTTAGTGAATGGACGATGCAAAAAAAAAACATATTCTAACTGTCTCTCTTCATAAAAAAATGAAGCTGTCACTTGAAGGGCGAAAAAGACAGCTGACTCTGACTTTTAATTTGAGTGCTCCCCTGGAAAATCGATACGAGTACGGAATCAGACTCCACAGTTCCTTTTTAAAAAAAAAATAAAAATAAAACAGGATAGTACTACTGAATGAACAGTAATTTACAACATAAAACTATGTAGTGAAAAGAAAAAAACAAAATAACAAGAGAGAATTAATGCCCAATGCATTTTGAATTGTTTTTGTAGGCAAAAAGTCTTCAAATGCAAATATATTTTTTTCATATAAAAAGATACATTTGTCTTTAATCATGTGGACTATATATAATAAACAAACATTGTGATGTTCATTTGTGGATCTTGTCATATTTTTCATGGACATTGTATTGTATATATGTACTTGAAAAATTTGTACATTATTATTCAACTTATCCACACAGATTATATATAATAAACTGACATTATATTGTTCACATATAGACTTTGTCATGTTCGTTACTGATATTGTATTGTACATGTGCATTTAAAAAATTTATATATTATTGTTCAATTTAGCCACACAAATTATGTATAATAAATTGTGTTGTTCATATATGAACTTTGCATGTTCTTTATGAACATTGTGTTGTACATATATTTACAAAACTTGTATATTATTGTTCAACTTAACCACAAAAACTATATATAATATAATAAACAGAAGCTATGTTATTTACGTATGGATCTTGTTATGTTTTTTTATAGACATTGTATTATACATACACTTGGAAACTTGTAAACTTGAGGCAAATGTGTCTTTTCACAAAAAATGTATATATGTGTGCGTATTTGCATTTAGGGCCTTTGGGCCTGCAAAAACAATTCAAAAAGTATTGGGTCTTATGTGTGACCTTTTCCACACTGGGGGTTAGATGAGACTTTCCCGAATAACAATCCTCCATCATCCTGGGTGATATCCATCACCGTAGGACGCCACAAAAATGTATTTTCTCAAATATAAGTTTTGGAATAAAAAATTACTATCGGAGAGCAGAGCATCACATGGGAATAAACAACGACTGCAAATAAACAAAGACTTGATCGTTGAAATTAAAGCCACGGTTGGTAATAGAAAACAAGAGACTTGGAATAAAGTAGTTTTTAATTATTATTAACTATTTAAGCCAATGATACCAACTCTCTCTCTCTGTTCATCACGCTGGTTTATGCTTTCTCTCTGCAGATCGGCAACTTAACTTCTGTGCTCTCTGGCTACTTGAATAATTCTCTCGCTTTCATTTTTCTCGTCAATCACACAAATCTTTTTCCTTGCTCTCTGGCTAGTGTTTAACAGTTTGGTCACACTATTTCTTTGTTTTTCAGTCCTTTAATCTTTTTTCTCCAGTCACTACCCTTTTTGCTCTTCATCTTTCTCTTGCTAGCTTGTTCTTTTAAGGGGGGGGGGGGGAACTGTTTGTTTCATCTTATATTAGTATCTGTCATTGCTGCTATTGGTCTTTTTCTTTCGGGGAAAAAAAACAAAAAAAAATTGTATTCTCTACTTTGTGTTCTTGGTTTGACTTTTTGCACTTCCACTCGCTCTTTGGAAAAAAAAAAAATTTCTTGTCCAGATTTAGCTCTCAAATTATTACTTTTGAGTCTCTGTTTAACAGTTCGTTGTTTCGTTCCTCGGATCTCAATTCTCTTGTAGTTTCTCCCTTGAATATTTCATATCGATTTCTTTTTCTCCATCAATCGTCGTGCTCTGTTTCATCTTCTTTGCGTGTGTTGAAGAAGACAACGACCAAGAAGGAGGGTTTCCTATCCAACAAGTTATAGAAGAGCATTGAAAACTCAGAATCAGAGGTATGCATGGCATTTGTGTATTCTTCCATACTGTAAATAAGCTACGAATGCACACTCACTTTAATTTGTTTTAGTGGCTTTGGGTTTAGCGAATAATAATATATTACGCTATTCCAAGTAAATATATCTCCACTTTCTTGACACTTAATTAAGAGTTAAATGCTTAGTTTGTCCTTAAATTATAGATCCACAAGTATATGTGATTCTAAATTTGTTTTTGATATGATATTTTCCTTTAACTTTTTAAAATGGTACAATATTACATTTATAGTTAACAAATATTAACTTTTATGGTTAATTGACCAAGAAAATTTTCTTGTTTCTTCTTTTTTTTAAAAAAATAATTTTTGATATTCTTTTTCTGTAATTTTTTAATCATTTTTTATAGTTTTTGAGATTTTTTTTTCTATAATTTTTTATCAATTAACAATCAAAATTAATTTTTATCAATGACAGGAATATTATTTCACCATATTTTAAGGTTAAAAAAAGAAAAATATTGTATTAAAAATAAGTATAGAATTTCATTTTTTTTTTGAGCTATAGCTCAAGGGTAAAATTATTTATCAACTTCTTAATTAATTAATTGGATATACTATTTGATGTGAAGAAGCGACAAAGCCCCGCGCTACTCTCTTATAGTGCTTCTACAATTGATCTTGAATCATAATTAGGAGACTTTAGTATAAATTATAAATCTGGTAAAAAAGGGTTTGACTAGCTGTTAAATCCTTCAATTTTTTTAACATGATTTGTTAAATATTTATTCAAAATAACTAAATAACAAAGTTGAAGTCAGTAAGATAGCACCACCTACTTCAAAAAAACTTTCTTATAACAAGGATGAAGGTAGACGGTGAAAGTGTGTCATGAAGCAGGGGTTGAAGAAAGCATCGCTAGGCCCACAAAGAGAATAAATATCCGTTTGTTTAGATTTAACAAAAGGTGTTAGGTGCTTTGATTTAAATAATTGATGATTTATTTTACACCACTTTATAATATAGAATGTCAAATAGTTCTCAAAAAATAGTTCACTGTTAAATTTATACCTTTACCTTATCAACAAATATATAGTCAAGAAATACTAGATAAGGAGATGAAAATAAAAGAAGAAAATAATATAAAAAATATAAGGAAAAAAGGAACAAGAAAACAATAAAAAATTCTCAAACTTTCATACTCCTTTCACATCACATTTTTTGTAATGTATGTTTTTCAAAAAATGTAAAAGACAACAAATCATATTTTAAAACTTACCACAGATCACTAACAAAATATTTTTCCTGTATACTATTGAAATCTTGGAACACGGTCAATGAAGTTGAAAAACACACACACACACACACACACACACACACTAGTAGTCCCTAATTGTGTCACATATGCATGTTAGATGCAAATTTCAGAAGGCATCACTACTTATGTTGCTGGATCATTGGTAGATAAAGCAATGAATGAACTTAAATACTTGTGTTGTTACAAGAGCTATGTTGATGACTTCGAAAAGGAAAAGCCAAGTTTGAGTGCAACAAGAAACACAGTTCTTAAAGATATTAAAGATGCTGAAGACAAAAATAAAAATCAGATTGAGGATGATGTTCAGTTGTGGCTAGATATAGCCAAAGGTCTCATACAAGAAGAAACAAAAGAAAAGAAGAAATGGTTTGGCTTAGTTACTAATTGCTTTTGGCAGTACAAGCGAGGAAAGGAGTTGGAAGGGAAGACACAAAGGATTAGGCAACTAATTGTTGAGAGAAACAATTTTACTCACATTGCATGTTCGACTGAGTCTCCAGATATTAAGTTCTATTCTTCTCAAAATTTTATGCATTTTGAGAATACAAAGTTGAAATTCAAACAACTTAAGGAGGCATGCAGACTGAAAGATGGCAAGAAGTTTATGATTGGACTGTATGGGTTGGGGGGGACGGGAAAAACCACGATGGCAATAGAAGTAGGTAAAGAAGTTGTAGCATTAAAAGATTTTGATAAAGTTATCTTTAGTGTTGTCTCAAAGGATCCAAACTTGAAAAAAATTCGAGAAAACATTGCAAATCAATTAGGCTTGCCAATAGATGAAAAAATGGGTGAATCTAAACAAGCACAAAGTTTGTGGAAGAGGATATTTGAAGGTAGAGAAAATATACTTATAATATTGGATGACATGTGGAAAGAGCTTACACTTCAAGACATAGGGATTCCTCCCGGTTATCATGACAAGGGTTGTTGTGTTGTCTTGCTAACCACACGTCAAACGACAGTGTGTAGAGATATGGGATGCCATGACAATATTAAACTTGAAGTCTTAAATGAAAAGGATGCCATGTATCTTTTTCTATTTTATGCTGGCATCAACATTGATGGTTCTTCCAATGATTTTGAGGATGTGGTTGCAAGTATTGTAAAGGAGTGTGGAGGATTACCTATTGCAATTGTAGCAATGGCAAGAGCATTGAAATCCAGGAGTTTAAATGACTTGAAGGATGCTTTGGTAAGATTGCAAAATTATGTGCCAACGTATAGTGCTAATGAAGAGTTGAAAGAGGCTTATAATTCTTTGAAATTAAGTTATGATTATCTAAAGAATGAAAAAGCCAAAAACCTCTTCCTCTTGTGCTCTCTCTTCCCAGAAGATTATGAAATACCTATAGAACTTTTAACTAGAATTGCTATTGGTTTGGGGCTTTGTGGAGATGCTAATAAATACTTTATAGCAAGAAGTGAATTCACTCCAATTAAAAATGAGCTCATAGATTCTTGTTTATTGTTAAAATCTAGGAATGAAATTGTAAAGATGCATGACTTGGTTCGGGAAGTTGCTCTGTGGATTGGAAAAGAACAAGTTCAAGTGGGAATGGATTCTAACACAACTTTAGATGAAAATATCCAATATTCATCTTGAAACATAAGTGACTTCCCCAACCGTTTTGGCAGTAGTAAACTTGAGGTTCTTTTAGCTTGGATAAATGAAAGTAATGAACCAAAAGTTCTAGATGCTTTATTTGAGCAAAGTGGAGAGCTTAAAATTCTAATTTTAGAATATTTGTATCATCGGCGAAGATTGCAAATTTTAGCTCAAGTTTTGTTTCAACCACTTCAAGCATTAAAAAATGTTCAAACTCTAGCCATAAAAAGATTTGAATTAGGAGATATATCTATTTTGGCAAGCTTGAAAAGCCTCACTAGTCTTGCGTTGATTAATTGTTCAATTATTGAATTGCCAAATGAAATTAGAGAGTTAGAAAATTTGAGATTGTTGGAATTGAGAAAATGTTCAATTGAAAGAAATAATCCTTTTGGAGTGATTGGAAGTTGCTCACAATTAGAGGAGTTGTATTATGTTGGCAATGATATTGGTCAACTTGACAATGACAAATTTCCTCAAATTACAACTTTTCCTAAATTGCGAAGGTATCATATAGTGGAATCTCCTACTAGTCATTTTGAAGTGGATTTTTCAATATCTAGATACTTCAATTCAAAGGACTTAGGAAAAAATTTCTCTAAGGAAATATTTACATCCCTAGTAGCAGGAGCAGAAATTTTGGAGTTAAATAAAGTTGATTGTAGTAGAGGATGGACAAATATTGTTCATGGCATTGTTCTTATGAAAGAAAAAGGTTTGAAACATCATTTAACTAAGCTTTATTTGGAATCTTGTTCCGAGTTAAAGTATCTGGTGAATACAGAGCATCTTCAATCTGGTATGGCTATCTTCTCCAAGTTAGTGGAGCTGCAACTTCATGAAATGGGTGTAAGAGAACTATTGTGTGACCCTTATCCTCTTGACTTTCTAAAGCGATCAGAGAATCTAAGGTTAGTGGGATGTAGAAAATTGAAAAGCACATTATTTGAGGGCAAGCTAGAGCTGGGTAATCTTAAGTCTATAAAATTAGACGAATGTTCAATGACTTGTCTTTTTCATCCATTAACAGCTCAAAGTCTCCAGAAGCTAGAGACATTAGAGATACATGAATGTTCACAGCTAAACTACATGGTAAAGGAGGTAATGGATGATCATGATGATCCTAATCAAAAGAGCTATGGGTCAATGTTCCCAAAATTGAAATCTCTCGATGTTGAAAAATGTGGAGGATTAGAATTTATATTGCCAATATGTTTTTGTAAAGACCTTCCACTACTTGAAAGTGTGACAATCAGGGAATGTGAGAAGCTAAAATACATATTTGGGCAGTATCCAAATGAGAGAGAATTGCATCAAATGGGAAAAGAATCTGTGCTCCAGTTGCTAGAAGAAATGGTGATTGATGCACAAAATTTCATAAGCATTTATGCAGAATGTTATTTACCCCTACCTTGTGCTGAAGTGCGAAAATTGGAAGATGAGAGTAACAATTTATCAAGGGGTCCTCTTTGTTGTTTTTGGGCAAGAGTAGGGGCCTCAACTCTACAATCCCCTTCCACTTCTAATACCACTCAATTGGACCCTACTCAGGTACTCATCTCTCTCTTTTTTTTATGTCGGTACAATTCTTTGCATTAGGAATTAATAGTATTGAAAATGAACAATTATATAACAACATATCGAATTATAAATTACTAATAACTTTTAAACTATTTCGAGCCACTATAAATATATACTTGTAAATTAATCGCCTCATTCTTTATTCATTTTTTCTTGTAAGTCTTCATAATATTAGATGAGTAGTTCAAATATACATCTAAGCCCAACCCATTAATACCTTGTGAAAATGAGTTCGATTGGGTGGCCTGTTTTTACTTTACCCACTAAAAATAATTTTTTATTTTCAAGTTAAATTTAAATTGTACCTTGTGTTATACTTTCAAATTAGAATTGGTATTATTCATTTCTAATATTTGACCATTATAATTCATACTTTAGTAAAAACTATATAATATGATAATGTAAAAATTTAATTTTTTTAAGACATAAAAAATTTTAAAATATAAAAATATAAAAACAAACTTGCGAGCCCGTCTTTGAGTCCCTTGAATAAAGGTTGGACTTCAGAAAAAAGTTAACTTTAGGATAACTGGATTTATGTGCTTAAGCCCATAAAAATTGGGCATATAAGGGCCATGTCCATATGGGCCTAGCCTGCCTGTTTTTGAGCTATGAATTTTATCAAAAAGTAATATCTCAAAATTGAAGTGCCTCGTGGCAATGTATCAAATTTAATTTTGCATGTGTGTGTATACAGTGTATATATTTTAATGATTTTAAGACAACTTAATTTGTTTATATATAGTATTCTTGTCCTATTTATTAGGTATTTTATAAAACTAAGAAGTGATTTTAATTATTCCCTCCATTAAAAAATGTAAGACATTTTTAACCGAGTTTTATCCTCTAATAAAGTAGTTACCTACTTTTCAACTAACCCTATCTTTTCATATTTACCCCTATTAAACACCCTACAATAAATATAAAGTCATTATCAATAAGAGTACTTTTGGAAGAAAGGCGATGATTACACCTCAAAAGACTAAAAATACTTTACATTTTTTAACATCCAATTCTTCAAAAAAATACGTTACATTTTTGAATGGATGGAGTATAAGGTATCAAATAAAAAGATCAAATAAAATTCTAATATGATCCTTTAACTTGAGAAAACATATACACTAATAAGATGACTCATCCTTTTTTAATTGATAAGGATATTATTAGAATGTAGGTATATTTTTTAACAAATAAAACAACATAATAATTTTTAACATCATTTAAAATAAAAATATAAATATTCCGTTAAAGTTCTAAAATATTTAATTTTTTATTTTTAATCATATTTAAAAAATAAAAATTATTAATTTACCTTATAATCTAATTAAAATTATTAATTTATTCTTACAAAAAATATTAATGTGGTATTAAAATGATAAAAATTTTTTAAAAATAATATAAATTATGTTAATTAATTTATTTATGAATATATTAAATATATATTTCATTAATTTTGTTTACATACCTACTTTAAATATTATTTTAATTAATTTTGTAATATAAAAAAATTTAAACCAAGACCCGAGTATGCCTTCAGACTTAAAAAATATTTATAGAGGTATTTATAGATTGCCTACCAACAAAGTCTTCACATGACAACAAGATTTGAATAACAACTTTGTAAGTTATAGGCTAAATGCCTAAATCCTTACTAATTGGACCAACATTTGTTGGTGTACCAACTTTAATGATTTTTAGATCACACTTATATGCTTAAAGAATGATATTTTGATTCAATATATGTAAATTAACAGTCAATTAATGGTTGAGTGCATAAAAAAGAAATATTAAAGGCAGAAGAGAGGCTTGTGCTTTGTTACTATTGATTAATTTTAGGGAAGTTATGTACAGATTTTCAAATAAATAAAATAGAGATATTTGTAATTAAGATAAAATAGAGGAGAAATCAATGCATTTTAATCATATTGGTCCAAAAAAGTTATTTTCCTCCTAATATAAATATAATTCATATTTAGTGAATATAAATTTTATTTTAGGAATTATAAAAATTTCAGTTAATATAATTTTTAAACTATATTTGATATTTTAAAATAAAAATATTTTAATATATTATGAAATCGTTTATAGACGTGGATTTTTGATAGACATGTTTATATATTCATGAGTAATTAGTTTTCTTTATATATTGTACTCTGTTCAAAAATGTAAGACTGTTTCTTTAAGTTGGATATTGAAAATTATAAGGCATTTTTTATTTTTTAATATATAATTAATGATATTTTTTATAAAAAATTTAATAAATAAAACACTCAACCATTCTCCTTTAAGTGAAACATTTTATTAAATAAGGACAAACATAAAATGATGATATTAGTTTAAAGATAATTTATTAATTTATTTGGGGTGTAATTCAATTAAAACTATTTTATATTTTTTAAGGGAATGAGTATAAATATATATATAAACTATTTGTTTGGGGACATGTTATATTTGTTTGATGAGTCGGATATTCATTTTACTATTTAGAATATGAGATGCATGTTTCATATTTTAAAGTAACTTTGGCATCTGTCTTTGTTCAAATTGTTAAGAATAGAAAATGCATCTTGAAAAAAGAATGATTGAACTTAGATTTATCTTTTATAATTAAAGCTAAAATTTATATTTCTTTTTTATCCTAGCGAAAGGCACTAGTTTCTTAATACATGACAAGCCAATGTTTGAATTCTTAATGGGAGAGAATTCTTCATTTAGTACTTGATGTTTTTTTTGAATAGGATTACCTCCAAAATTAACAATATTATTTATAATTAGAATGAAAAAAAAATCAAATGAGAAGATAAATTTTAATGCAAATATAAATTGTCAAATAAAGAAAAAATAAAATTTTTTCTGAGGCTTGAGAAATGTTTGAATGCAATACGTGCATTGCTAATGGAGTTTTTACACCACCTTTATGTTCATACAACAATTTGAGAAAGATGACGATAGAGGGATTTTTTGAGTTGAAGTCACTTTTTACCCTCTCTATTGCCTCATCATTAAAATTGTTGGAAGACTTGAAAGTAAGGATATGGAATGCACTGGAGCATATAGTAACAAATGAGAGGCATTATGGTCATGATGATATGAACGTTAGCTCCATCTTTCCCAACTCAAAGCAAGTTCAAGTCTCTTGCTGCAACCATTAGGAATATATATGGGCATTATAGTCATGATGATATGGATACATGTATCTATGTTGATTTTGCTGTCTCGTACAAATATAGGCCCCGTAATGCCTGCCCATAACTTTTTCACAAAAGGCTCTCACCTTAAAACATTTTGTGGCTTTATTTTCGCCCATTATTTTATGTTTTCTTTTATTGAAGTATTTAAAATGTTGAAAATTTAGAATTTTCAATATAGAATATAGTATAGATTTACAATATATAATTTGCCTCTAGATATAACTGTTTAAATTGAAAAGAATATAAAGAAAGACGGGAAATGTCAGTTTAAACTTCTTTTATAAAAACTAGCCAGCAATTTTTTTTTTTTGGAAGAGGAGAATTAGACAAGTTAAAAAAACCTTGTTTAAATGTAAAATGTTTAAAAAAAATTATATTCCATTTTTCTTTGGCCTCACTAACTTATATATATAGACAAAACAGTACTTCCTAATTTTTTGCAGTGTACAAATAAATTAATTTATTATATTTTAACCTATTGAAGGGATAATAAAATTTTTAGTTTTCTCTTAAGTTTGTCTCTTGGTCAATTTTGTTTCTAAAGTATAATCTTTATCAATCAAGTTTCTAAAATTTTATTACTATATGTAATTAATCCTCAGGGTTTGAAGAGGAAATGATACTGTGAGGATTATTAGGAACTTGATTGATAAAAATTAATTATTTATGAATGGACTGAAAGTTTTATTATTTAGTTATTATAAAGAATTCAAATGATATGAAAAAACATAATAGCATGTTTGGATGGAATGCAGGAATCAAAAGTCAAGTTTGGTCTCAATATAGCTCATGGATATTTTATTTCACCATTATATCAATGCAATCTGAGACATATTAGGATAAACAGATTTTCGAAGTTGAAGTCACTCTTTACCCTCTCCATTGCCTCATCCTTGAAATTATTGCAATTCTTGGGAGTCGAAGAGTGTGATGCACTGGAGCAGATAGTAGAAAATGAGGGGCATTTTGGTCATGATGATGATACGACCGTCAGCTCTATGTTTCCCAACTTACACCATGTCCTTGTCCATCGATGTAGCAACTTGAAATGCCTATTCTCTATGTCCACATATTGTAAGCTTCCAAAACTACTCATGTTGGATATAAAAGACGCCCCTCAGTTTGAGCAAGTCTTTGAATGCGAGCAAGCAGTTAAATTTCAAGAGCCGACCACGAAAGATGTGCTTCCAAAATTATTTGGAATGAGACTCATAAATCTGCCAACCCTTCATACAATCTATCACGGACTTGATTTCCAAAATGTGAAAATCCGTGTTGTGAGGTGTCACACCTTATCTCAGGAAATAAAATGAATACAACAAAATATGGGAAATTCTTCTGGTATTAATCAGTAAATTGCATTGCGAAGTTCATCAGAAAACAATACAGCAAAAGTGTGGTTCAGAAAAGGAAACGATAACAGAACAGAATTACCAGAGAAAGGAGGAGGAATAACAGAAAGGAGAGAGAGACCAATTACAATCACACACTGTTTTCCACTCATTGCATGCACATGCATTTTATCCCTCTTGCCCCTCTCGTAACTTCCACGTGAGTGTTCTTGGACGAGTGCTTCTACGCAAAGCAGCCAAATCCGTGTGACCGTCATTGGGTATCGCCACGTCATGGTTCAGCTCACCACTCATCTGCTGACTCGATAAAGTGGACGTGACATGAGGCAATGTCCCAATATCTCTATAACTTCAGCTAATGACAGCAAGAGAGAACGTAAGTTAATCACAGTTGCTGAATGCTATGATTTGCTCCTTTCTACTGTTGAAATTGTTTTGTTTAATTGCGCAGTACTTGCTTTGTCTTCATTATTGCATCAGCGGGAGTCTAACTCGGAAGATAATGATGACTGCAAGGTTGCAAGTTTTGTTGCTTGGAATTGGGCTAACGAGGTGAGTACAAAACTTTATAAAATAGCATAATCTGATGGAACAGAAGAAAAGCACAAGGATGCCATAAAATAATCTTTTCACACCAAACTTTACTAACGTATATCAAATTTACCAATACATAAATAAAATTTTGCCCTGCTACTACTCATTTAGTATAAAATCAATAGATCCACAACTTTTCCTTTTGTGTGGGCCAAGATTATTATCTTTATTATTCACTTCTATTCATCATTTTCTTTATATCATGTTCAGCTAGAGAGAGGCACGACAAAGCCAAAACAGTACAATAGTTCTTCAAATCTAGCAAATGTATATAAATTATACCTCCCTCTACATTTAATAAATCCAGTGCCTATTCTTTTCCCTTTTATTTTGTGGGCTAAGATTATTGAAGTTTATTAGTGACTTCAACTCTATTGATCTCTTTGTATACGTTTGGTAATTGTGTAGAGCGAAGAGGCATTCCAGGAGATTGTTGAAGACGACTCCGCAATCCACAAGCAGTATAGTAGTTCGCCAAATTTGAGAGAGGTCTAAACAAAATGCTTGTTTTAATAAAACAGCCTCATAACCCAACAAACAATTTCTCTCAATAAATCACAAATAGAAGCAAATGAAAATGTTGAAGGCTGATTTTTTTTTTAAATCTCTAATTAAGATATTGTGAGGGTCATTCCTCAATAAATAATCGTGATTGAATCACCGGCCACAAGCAAGATTACCATGTATCTTTTTTATTTAAAATAAATCATTTAACTTAATGTGGCCTTTTGAATATTCACCTTCATGAAGAACAAGTTTGCTGGCAAAAAAGCTAAGAATGAGACAATCATGATTTATAAACAAAACGGACTTTTATTTCCGTATGCTCCATGATTATGATGTTCATTAACGACTTCCCTTCTTTACCTTTGTTTTTTTTTTAATAACTCTCACGTTTTTACATCTTCTATTTTTCTTCAGATTGAAGAAGAAGAATCTCAAAATATTATTGGAGAAGACTCAGCAAAGTCAGAACATACAAATGCATCACCAAATTTGGAAAACGTACTTACATTATACTTTTCTATATCTGGCAAACTTAAGAAACCAACTAATGGTAAAGGAGAATTACACTTCAAACTCATTTTATTTTCTTTTTATATCTTTTGCTATTGTTTAGAGTAAAGAAGCATCAAAGAAGATTGCTGAAAAAGACTCCACTGCGCACACACAGAGCAGTAATTTGCCAAACATGACAAAGGTCCGTACATTGTGATTTTTTCTCAATATAATAACACTGACTCAAACCAATAAATAATTTCATCTTGATTAATCAATAAGTGGCTATTTAGTAACTAAAACATATTTTATGGCTGCGCAGAATATGAATGCAACAACAAATGATATTGTTGAAGAACAACTTTCCAGTTCACATACAGCGGCAGCTTCCTCATCTAATTTAGATATGGTAAGAGTCATTCCTCAACAAATACTTTCATTAGAACTTATTGAGCCTTTGTACTATGAAATATACCATGAAACTAAAGCTGATTTACTACTCTGAAGACATGGCACAAACTGCAAACTGATTTACTACTCTGTGCTATGAAATAGATTGTTCATGGAAGCTTAGAGCTAAGAGTTCAAGAAAGTTCTAAATTAGATGGAGCTATCGAAGAAAATCAAATCATGAATTCAAAATCAAGCAATGCATCCCCAACATCATCTATAATTCCTCAGGAAAATAAATCTTCACATGTAAGAATATAATCTTTCCTGACAAAGTGTCTTAGGAATATCAAACTTAAAAGTCATTTGGTGTTATGCAGGAAGCTGAAGCAACTATGGGAGAAGGTCTTTCATCTGAGAAACATGACACAGTGAGTTCATCAACTCCTTTTGAACTAAAAATCTCAACTCCATGTTCATTAACTTCTATGTAGTTGAAGCTAACATCAAACTAATCTATTTCTTGGTGGTTCCTTCTGTCATAGAACAAGGAGAAAGTAGAGGCAAGTGTTCGAGAAAATCCAAAATTAGAGGAAGTTGTAATGTCAAATGAAGTCCGGGATTCAAAACTCAAAACCATACTTGCACCATTTGCTAGTCCTTTACAAGTTGAATCAGCACAAGTAAGATTATCACCTTTAATTTTCATATACAAATTGATGCGGTGATCTTTTGAATATTCATGCTTATATCGAGGATGAGTTTGTTAATTGTGACTTAAGATTCATAAAGTTTGTTAGTGAATTCAACTCATTTTATCTCTTTTTATATTTTTTGAGATTGTTTAAAATGAAGAGAAATCTAAAGAGGGTCTTGAAATTCTTTAGAAACACATTCATTTTTTTACAGAATCAATTTCTTATTTCTCATGCAGCAACAACAATTCCATCATCTGATAATTTGGATATTATGAGGGTCTTTCCTCAACAAATGCTTTTAGTTGCACGTTCATTGAGCATTTTTTTAATAAAGTAGCAATGTGGGGGTGAAAATGGCTAAATAGTAATGGTTAATTATGTTCTTTTTATGAGTTAATAGGATTTTCTGATGCTCCGTTGGGAATCAAAGTTGTTGTTGACAGTAAACTAATCATTTATTAATTTGTGATTTACTGTCATTCCACAAACTCAGGAAACAATGGAGGAGGCAAGTGTTCTAAAAGGTCAAAGACCAGGGGAGGCTGTGTTAGCAGATGAAGTCATGGATTCAAAGCTAAGCAACATACCCTTACCATTTTCTAGTGCTTCACAAATTGAATCACCACAAGTAAGATTTTCACCTTTTTAGTATAAACTAAATGAATCAAAATTTAGGCAGCTTTTTGGATATTCATGTTCACGAAGGATAAGTTTGCCAGGAAAAAAAATATCTGAGAATGAAACAATCATGATGGATCAGCAAGCACTAGTTGAAAGGGGATTTTATTTCCATTAGAAGATTAATATCTTTATTACTAACCTCAAATCTTCCTTCTTCTTCTTCTTCTTTTTTTAGTTGAACAACACTTTTACTTCTTTATATATTTTATTGTTGTTAACAATCAAAAAGAAGCATCACAAGAGATTGTTGAAAAACCAAAACAGAACAATGCTTCACCAGATTTGGACAATATCGTACACATATTATACTTATCTATAATCAAGAATAAATAAAAAACCAACTAATGATTTCTCTCTTACCTTATTTTCCTATCCATGTGCTCCAATTAAATCAAGAATTTTTAATTTTTTGTGCTAAGATTACACATTAAAGAATATAGCTTTTGAAGAGATGGCATTAAAAGTAAATTTCAAACTAATTTACTACGTACCATATATGTGCTATGCAACAGATTACTAAGGAAACAATGAAGCCAAATGTCTGAGAAGGTTCTAAATTAGATGAAGCTAGCAAAATATAGCAAATCATGAATTTAGATTTAAGCAACACAGTCCCAACAAAATCCACTATTCCTTCAAAAAATAAATCTCCCCTTGTAAGAATTTATATGGGCCTTCTTGACATGAGTCGAGTTTATACTAAATGCTTTGTGATGGTTTTTGCTAATTTATGTTTGTTTTGGTTAATTTGGTTCACAAGTAAGTCCATCAACTAATAGACATATGATCTCTCAGTGTGTAAATAACTACTTTTATCATTCCCCTCCATTACTGTTGTTACTTTATTGATTTTTGTTGAGATTAATTTTTTCTGGCTTTGTGGTCTTAGGTCCCTTCAATCTCTGCTCATGGCAAGCCTCAAATAGAAACTTCAACTACTCCCTTAGACATAGAGAGCTCACATTCAGACCTGCCAGATATTTCAGCAACTACTGAATCGGCACAAGTAAGTCTTGGTTTACTGCATTAGTTTTAGGGTGTAAAATTTTTCTTCTTTGAAATTTTATGTACTAATGCTGAAATAAAGTATAGTTTGATGGCATCAACTCGTATGTATGTATGAATGTTAAATATATTATACATTTATTTTTAATTTCCTTGAGTTAAATATATATGGAATACAAGATATTTCATGTTTGTAATTAATTCTATTGGTGAGAAGGATCTTCATCTATTCTGACTTACTCCAGGATGAGACTTGGACTGATGAAGAAAATAAGTTTGGCAAGAAGTCTAAACAATATGAAGAACATGATCACATGAGATTATTCCAAATAACAGAGGAAGCTGCTGATATTGAAGTCCACATGCCTTATGTTCATAAAATCATTGCTGATCTTCAACATCATGATGAGGTGGCTAAGGCCCTTGCTAACTTGGCTGCCTCATTGAAGATAGGTTTAAATGAAATAGCTACCTCAGAAGAAAACAGACTTTGCCTTGAGAAAGCTCTCACCATCTTGTCCTCATATTGTTCTGAAGATGGACCTCCCTCTAATAGCCTTCAAGCTGCAATACACTCTATGCATGAAGAAATCCAACGTATTGTATCTTCCTTCAACCAAGCCCACGACACCATTGACACATTCACCAAGCTCGAACAAAAAGAGAAGCTTATGATGGAACAACGCTCACAGCGAAAGGAAGTGGCCGCTGCAACTTTATCTGCAATTCATAGGACTGAGAATTCAATGGTAGAGGCTCAACTAAAGGAAGCAGAGCTGAAAGAGCATATCTCTAAGTTGCAGGCTGAACTGGATAGCAAGAAGAAGAAAATAGAGGAATGCAAGATCAAACTGTTATCTCTTCAAGAGCAGGACAGGAAGAGTGCTTCTGATGACATAGGATTCATAATGGAGTTTGAGGAAGTGAAGAAAGAGAGGTCAAGCATGGTTGAAGCACAAGTGAAAGCAAGGGAACAACTGAAAAATATGGACGCCAAGTGGTCTTCCTGTTTATCCAATTTTATGAAAACCACACTACTGCTGGGAATTCATCTTAAGCAAAAACTTTGACTTTTAGAGACTGTTATTTAAATTTCCTGCCAAAAAAAAAAAAAGAATTCTAGAGTCAAATTTAGTAGTTGGGTTGTTGTATGTATGTGTCTTGGGTTGAGTGTCATTGCTGCAGTGATTTTCATTATGTTGATAGTAAGTAATGATAGAATTCTCGAAAGGAAAAAAAAAAAAAAAAGAATAGGGTTGTGATCAATAATTATTGAACTCATTGTTGTACACATTGATTTGATGATAGTGAAGTTTTTCTGGACTTGGTCCCGTGGTTTTTATCTCTCACATTGCGGGAGTTTTCCACGTTAAAAAATTGTGTGTTCTTTTGTCTTCTTCATCTAAAATATTTTGGCCTTTTGGGTTGCAAAATTGTAACATTTCAAAGAAATTGTCAGTTTGTCACAGCATTATGTTACAAAGACCATATGGTTGCAGGTGAAAGCGATTCCCTACAATTTAGATTTATTGTCAAATTATCATTGTCCTTTTCAATTTATAATACCTAAACTTATTATTGTAATTGGAAAGTATATTGACTGAAGAAATGCGAAGAATGGTATCATGCTTCAAGCAAGCTACTGATACCCTTAACAGATTAAACAGGCTTGAAGAAAAGGAGAAGCTGATGGATTGATGAGGAACATTCTCAAAGGTTTGATAAGTATACCTGGTTACTTGAATAAGGTATGTTGCCTAAATATAGAAACAGAGATACTTCAATTCTGACGCATTTGCTCTGTTTCATCATTCTCTTCATCACAATTTTTGTGCCTTCACGGAGAGAGATTACAATCTTGGCATTCATGGAAGTAGGATCTATAATGCGTGTATTTCATACTTTATTTAAGATTCTTTATTTGTACATAATTGATGAAGTTGAGAAAGGTTGGATTGATAAAGATAGGCATGCAGTCACGTTATTGTTAATGTTTTTATCGTATTCAGAAAAGAACCGAAGAGAAAGAAGAAAGAGCCAAGAAATTAGAAAGGTGTTGTTCTTTCTGTTCTTTTCATGGCCTTCTCTCTCTGTCTCTTTAGAGAGGCCTAAGCCAAGTTATAAGATTTTACAAGTGTCCTTTATCTTTGTAATGTTGTAAATTTTAAAATTTATTTTATAAAAATTAGCATAATTTTGTAAATCTAATACATTGACTCATAAATATAAGAGATTAAGTTATATACTGAGAGATTGAGTTGCAAATAATAATTAATAATGTTTAAATTAAAATGCTTGTAACAATTTATTATTTGAACATCATACTTACGCAAACACAAGGAAAGGCAGATTTAGATACCATTAATCTTATATATTCAATATATTTTTATTCAATTAAATTAGAATAAATAAATTTTAACATGTCAATGATATTAATATCAAGAAATTGTTATAAAACAAAAAACATTTAAAAAAAAAAGATATGCATGTCTCTTTGTTTAATTGACTCTTGGGTGAAAGGAGGAAGGGCTAAGAGTCTCTAATGTGCCCTTTTCTAATGTTCCTTGTAATGTCTTAATATTTCAATTTTGTTTTTTATTTTTCTTTAGATTATTAGCTTCTACATAAAATAAGAGACATTCAAATATCTTGATGTCCCAAAATGGTGAAAATTTATATTTTTTATGATTTTTTTTAAAAAAATATCACAAATACACCTTTTTATTTTTAAAAAATCATAAAAAATATAAATTTTTATCATTTTGGGACATCAAAATATCCAAATGTCATTTATTTTATGTAAAAACTAATGGAAAAAAAAATAAAAAATAAAATTGAAACGTTATGACATTACAAAAAACATTAAAGAAAAGCACGTTAAAGGCCAACATCGCAAGGAGGATATACCATGTACAGTCGGGAATCATGGTGCCCTCACACACACACAGACCGCTCTTCCAAACACGTCATTTAATGTTGGAGCCACCGTTGAGATGATTGATTGTTGTGAAGTATTGTGAGCAAATACACTCTCTGTGTTCATTATTCACTACAGCTTCTGCTTCCTCTCAGCAATTTCAGTGTTCAATCTCATTCACAATGGCTTCTGTTGAACTTCTTCTTTAGACTCTTGCCTCGCTTCTTCAACACTCTCATATCTATCTTGTCTGCGTTTGGATCCTTCCTTTTGTGTTTTTCTTCATTTATTAATAATCCTTGCCGCTGCTGTCTTTGAATTTTTCTGATCTTCAGTCACTGTATATTTCGTTGCTGGGCCCTCTTACATATTCTTGTTCTTCAACACTTCCTGTGCCCTGCTTTGTTTTCGCATTGTTCCTGTCTCTTTGATCTCTGGAGTTCCATTAATCGTTGTTGTTGTTGTTTTAAGAAGAAAAATGTATTTTTTTTTTTTAAAAGACAATCTATGTGCTCTGTTTGTATCTCTACTCTGATTTCTCTCTACTTCCTATAATTCTTCTTCTTCTCTTTCATTGGAGAGGGGGAAAAAACTAAATTCTCTCTCAAGAATACCTATCAAGTGACTAGAGTTTTGAGCAAGATCTCTCCATCAATCAAACTGCTGTTACTGTTCTTCTTAATAAAAAAGAAAATACAAATTTTCTGTATTTGTTGATATTTCTCTTACTTTCAGTTTCTGTTGTTCATCTTCTGGTTCTTATTCTTCCTAAAGGAAAAAAGTCCCTGTCAAAGGTCTTCATTTTTACCGTTAAAAGTAAAAAAAGAGGACCCAACCGTTAAAAGTAAAAAAAGAGGACCCAAAAAGAGAAGGAGAAGGAGAAAGGAGGCATTCTCAAATAAAAGAGAGTGGAAAAGCGTTAAAACTCGAGGTAAGTATATATGTGTTCTGCAATACAATTAAGTTATGAATTTAGATTATTACTCTATTTCAAAATTCAGTAATTGAAAGGTAGCTTTGAATTTCCTCAAAACATATATATTTAAGGAGCGAAATAATGAAAAATAATTTAGAATTAGATTAATTAATGAGTCAAATCATCCAAAAAAAAAAATAATGTGTATAAGTTTTATAGGATCAAGCTCCTTTATGCAATATTTCCATACTTGATTAAGACATAAATTGAGTTATAATTTCATGGGAACAATTGTAAATAATGACCTGTTGGCCAAATATATATATATATATATATTTCATAGGATACTGTTTTAAAACTCGATTTAATCATAAATATAAGACAAACATATACCCCTCCTTTTTTATGATAATAGAAACTGTCATACGTCCTCTCTCTTTTTTTATATGCAAAACTACTCATTCCAAAAATTATTTATCATATTTTTTTTTTAAATTGCGCCTTATAAAATCAATTAATTTTTACCAGAAAAGTTTATTTTATTGATTACAGAATAATTTAGTCAACTTTTTTTATTTTCAAACATAATTATTATATTTAATTAACTTTCTTAAACTATGAGTTCGTTATTTTTCTCTTATACTTAAAAATAGAGAGCAGCAACAGTTAACTTTCTTTTCAATGTTATCTTTTTTTAATCCCACCAAGTTGTTTGCCAACTTGTAATTTCTAGACACATTAATTATAAAATTTTAATTTCCATAAAAGAGTAACAAAATTAAAAAAAATCAAATATCTTTTACAAGAATATTAATTCCTAAACATTTTTTTTTCTTTTCAACATTTGAAAAATCATTGTTCTTTGATTAGGGGGAAATCAAGAAGCAAGGAAGAGAGCCCTCCGATCAAAGACGTTGAAATATTTGGACAAGAGGTAAATATATAGTTTCGTGATATTAATATTATGAGCTCGCCAATAAATGTTTTTTTGCATGCATTTGCATGGGCATAAACACACTTGAGTTTTATATAAATCATTGAAATTAAATATTAAATTTTCCGGTTTTTATTATATAAACATTTCCTATAGTATTTAATGCAAAATTCTCAATCTAAATTATTATTATTTTTCTTAAATGTCCTTTAACATTTTTGTAACTAATTAAATAGCATCCTATAGATAGGTGAGGTCGTGAGGATGGGAGATGCAACACCCTTCACTACGAGATAAAACTAAGACAATCTAACAAACAGGGGGGAACATCTCAAAATAAATAAAAAGACTCCAGAATCATTCAAGATAAAAATATTTCAAAATTGAGTTCAAAATGCTTGGACTCTACATGAAAAGTTCAAGAGAAAAAATGACTTTTAACTAAATTAGTTATAACAAAAGATCAATATAAACAATTACTAATAATCCCTAATCAAACTAGAATCACTTTACACCACTAATTGCATCCATCCAATCACAGAGCAACAAGGTTAATAGTCACTGCAAAAAATGAGTCTGGCCACCATCCTGCTTTGAGATCAAGAAACCACACACAAGCATTACAAAGCTACAAAGCTACCAAATGCTTCTTTCATTGGTTGATCAATGAATGAAGTGTGAAAAGACTTCTACACAGGTGCTTTCCCTTGATTAGTACAATCCTCACTTGAAATTGGTGGAACGAGCAGTGAGATACAAAATCCTTGCAGCTAAGGTAAACTTCTAGTCTAAACAAGAGTGCACAAATAACATGATACGTAAGAGTTTGAATTTGAAAGTATTGCCACCCAACTTACACACTCCCCTCCAAGTCCCCGGCTGCGGTACCGGGAGCACCCATGCCACCTTCTGCAGCCTCCAGGATTGTTTTGGATCCACAAACAAATCATGAGTGACTTGGATTACACACCACTTCCAAAATCAGAAGCCATCAAGTTTTTCTAGAGTTTCTCATGCTTCCTTTCAATGTTTTTGTGTTATGAGCATAAGTTTAAAGAGAGAATCATCCAAAATACTAATATATTAGAAGGAAGAGCTTCTTACACTTGTAAAGCACACTTATCTTGTGATGCTCTCGTATGTGGGATTAATAAATGTATCTTTGTTCAAGAACCGATACCTACTGCCAGAAACTTACACCACCAATCAAAACTATACTAATGTTATGAATACAAGTTTAAAGGGAGAGTTTATCTCAAAAAATCAACCATTAAGAGAGAAAACCTCTTACACTTCTAAGTTATAAATCACACTTCTCTTGTGAGGTTTCTTGGTATGGAACTCGTAGCAATGCACCTTTGTTGAAGAATCGAGACCTACTGACCAGAATCCTACACCTACTTGTCAAAATTCTACCAATGTTATGAACACAAGTTCAAAGGGATAATTTATATCAAAATACTAACCTGTTAGGAGAACAAGCCTTATACACTTATAAGTTATAAACCACATTTCTATTGTAAGGCTTTTCAATGCAAGACTCAACACTATATATCATCA